ATTGTATTTCCTTCCTGTGGTTTTTTTTCTAAGCTCTTTTTTTTTTCAAACTTAGTTCTACCTTAAGTGTAGAACTACATTAATGTCTTCCCAGCCATAATTTTAATGGCTGTCTAGGGGCGCCTGGGTGGCTCAGTCTGTTAAACGTCTGACTTCGGCTCAGGTCATGATCTCAGCAGACTGAGTTCGAGCCCCGCATCAGGCTCTGTGCTGACAGCTCAGAGCCTGGAGCCTGCTTTGGATTCTGTGTCCTCCTCTCTTTCAGCCCTTCCCCTGCTTATGCTCTGTCTCTCAAAAATGAATAAACATTAAAAGTTTTTTTAAATTTAATGGTTATCTATATGATCCCTGTTGCATACACCATATTTTGTGAGTTATTGCCCTGTTGTTGAATATTTACACTGCCTCCAGTTTTGGCTCTTACAAATAAAATTTGGTGAGCATCTCTGAGAGTATATGTCTCTGAAATTTTCTTAAAAGACGGTCCCAGAAATAGAAATATTGGGTCAAATCTATGAGCATTTCCCTGGCTTTGGTGGTGCTTAATCTTGTAATTAGTTGTAACTCTAAATGCAGGATATTCAGCCTATATCTATCTCATCTCAAGGATGTGAGAAGAGATTTGATTACGTGCCTTGCTGAAATCCATATTAATGAAATCTAGAAAATGTCTTTGGTCTGTGAACCTAGTAACCTTATGATCATAGAAAATGATCCCGACGTAACAGGGTGGGCATGAGGATTAAACGAATTCACGCATGACAGGTCTTAGACCAGGGCCCAGCATGAGTGAGCCGTGGGCGCCATCAATCCCTATTCTTGTTTTCACTGTGTAAAGGAGGTGAGACTATTCTGGGGTTGCCGTTCTCTGTGGCCTTCTAGCCATTGCTGCTTTCCTCAGAGGCTCTTAAAGGTGTAAGTTTTGTTGGGGCACCTGGGTGGCTTAGTCGGTTAAGCGTCCGACTTTCGCTTAGGTCATGATCTCGCGGTTAGTGGGTTCGAGCCCCGCGTCGGGCTCTGTGCTGACTGCCAGCTCAGAGCCTGGAGCCTGTTTCAGTCTGTGACTCCCTCTCTCTCTGACCCTCCCCTGCTCACGTTGTCTCTCTCTCTCTCTAGAAATAAATAAAACATTAAAAAAAAAAAAGGTGTGAGTTTTGTAAGGTTATTAACACTTGACTAATGGCTTCTGATTGCTAAGAGGTTTTGTTTTGCTTTGTAGATTTGTTCATTTACAAATAAAGGTCCATAAAGAGAACCATGAAGTCAAAGGTGGACAGCCTTTCTCTAATATATACGGCCTTGGATACTAACAAAGATACCTTTGGGGCACCTGGGTGGCTCAGTCAGGTAAGTGTCTGGTTTTCTTTTTTTAGTTGATTTTCATTTATTTTGAGAGGGAGAGAGGGTGAGAGAGAATCCCAAGGAGACTCCACGCTGCAGCACAGAGCCCAACGTGGGTCTCCGCGTGGAGATCAATCCCACCAACTGGGAGATCATGACCTAAGCTGGTATCAAGAGTCAGACACTTAACCAACTGAGCCACCCAGGCGCCTCTAAGCGCCCGATATTTGATCGCAGCTCAGGTCCTGATCTCAGGGTCATGAGTTCAAGCCCCGTGTTGGGCTCCATGCTGGGCGTGAAGCCTAGTTTAATTAATTAATATTTAAAAAGACACCATTAAGTGGCTACCATTAAAGGAGATGAGGGAATCTGGCAGTTGTATTTGTTTCTTTATTTATACCTTACTTGGTTTCGAAAAGGACCCCAGGCATTTATAGAGCCACAGAGTCTATGACAGGTACCTGGGTGGCTCAGTCAGTTAAGCCTCTGACTCTTGATTTTGGTTCAGGTCATGATCTCACAGTTTAGGAGTTCAAGCTCCCCATCAGGCTCTGTACTGGCAATGAGGAGCCTGCTTAGGATTCTGTCTCTTCTCTCTCTGCCCCTCTTGCCCGCTCTCTCTCTCTCAAAAAAACAAAAACACCTTAAAAAACTTAAAAAAAAAAGAAAGACTCACAGCTGCTCAACATTGGCTATTATCACTGATGTAGCAGTAGTAAATGTCGTTAACAAGACAAAAAACAAACAAAAAATAGCCAAAGGAAATATAAAGGGGAAAATGATAATATGAATCCAGGGTGGGTAACAAAACATATGGTATAAAGCTCTGTTCATACACTTGCTCCAAGTGTTTGCTGAGCTTTCTAGAGACCCAAGCGAATGCTGGTTACATAGTTCATGTGAGGCTTGGAGAAAGTTCTGTGAGTCCTCGTCAAAATGACATCTTACGATGCGGAGGACCATGTCTTCAACCCCATCCCCTAATTCTGAATCCAGTCCAACACAGAGACAGGTGGGCAAACAAAGCCCCACGGGCGTAGGAGATGGAACAGGGCTCTACTAAGTTCATAAATTCAGCCCCTCCAGCCTTTAAAGCCGCAGTTACCGGGCGGCTGGGCAGCTTAAGGTCATGATCTCGCGGTTTGTAGGTTCCAGCCCCACGTCAGGCTCTGTGCTGACAGCTGAGAGCCTGGAGTCTGTTTCAGATTCTGTATCTCCCTCTCTCTCTCTGCCTCTCCCATGCTTGCGCTCTCTGTCTCAAAAATAAATAAACATTTAAAACTATTAAAAAAAAAAAAAGGTTGAAACCTGGTACCCCTAGAAATATACAACCAGCAAGAAGATGGCTCTGTTTCAAATTATTCTAAGGGGGATAATACACGGACGTTTTGTTGTTTGTCTGGTGTTTCACCCTTGAGGTCTGACCACTAGGTTTGGACAAGCCTGCTTTTTACAGGGGCAATCAAGCTGTGCCTGCTTCCAGCTGTTCTGTGTCCAGGTCATCTTCCTTTTTCTCAGGGGTCCAGGACCCGTAACCCCAGAGGGCTTGGATTTGACCTTCTTCCTTCCATTTTAATGAATATCTTTTGTGTCAAGCACTTGACGGGAGTTATTTTAACTTTTGCTGTAACTCCACCAGGGGCTATTGCTGCCTCTATTTTATGCTGATGAAATAGAAGTTCAGAGATACGTGAAATACCTTGCCCATGGCCACCTTACTAGTAAGAGCTGTGATTTAATGCAGTCCTTTAGGACTCCTGACCGTTATTCTTCCCACGCCTTGCCAATCATCTGCTTAATAGTCTGATTTAAGATTCCCATTGCATTAAACATCAAGTTTTCTGGCCTTTGGTTTGTATTATTAGTATGTTTCCCTTGTTTTGAAAACTAAGACTTCATTTGTCTCTAGACTTTGTATCTCTTCTCCAATGAGTCAGGTGGCTTAAAGCGCTCATTGGCAAATTTTCTCATTTTCCCTCTCCAAGTCAGATCAGGAGATGAGGGTTAATTCAAAGCAGCACAATGCTTTTTAAAAATTTTACACCTCCAGGGGCACCTGGGTGGCTCAGTCGATTGAGTGTCCAACTTTGGCTCAGCTCATGATCTCACGGTTTGTGAGTTCGAACCCCACATTGGGCTCTACACTGACAGTGCGGAGCGTGCTTGGGATTGTCTCTCTCTCCTTCTTTCTCTGCCCCTCCTCTACTGGCTCTATCAAAATAAATAAACTTTAAAAAATTTTTACACCACCAGTAGGTTTCAATTTCCTCTTACCAGTGTTTGTTATGAAAGAAATCTCAGTGCAAGTAAAACCAACCATGAAATACTATTTTTAACCTAAGAGGCTTGCAAATATAGTTTGCTTATAGACTGTGTGGAAGAAAGAGGCACTCTCAAACATTATTAGTAAGAGCATATATTCGCACTGCCTCTTTGGGGGAAGGAAATGTTGGCAACACTGATCAAAATTCAGAATGTGCACACCCTTTGACCCGACAAGTCTACTTCTAGATCCTACCGGCATGGTGGCACACCTGCACACAGATGTGTGCACAATGATATTCAGCAAAGTGTTTCCATCACAAAAGACTGAACATAACCTACATGTCTGCTAATAGGGAAGCTGATTAAATCAATTACAGCATATCCATATAAGGAAATACTCGGCAGCTGTGGGGAAAAAATGAAGCAGATATGTACAAACTGGGATATTCTCCAAAATAGGTTGTTATATGAAAGAAGCAGGGGGAAGAGCAAGTGACTATAATGTGTTGTCATACTTGTGATTTTACGTTTATTATTTTTGAGAGAGACAGAGACAGTGTGCGTGGGGGAGGGGCAGAGAGAGAGAGAGAGAGAGAGAGAGAGAGAATCCCAAGCAGGTTCTGTGCTGCCAGTGCAGAGCCTGATGCTGGGCTCGAGTCCATGAACCATGAGATCATGACCTGATCAAGATCATGACCAAGATCAAGTGTCAGCTGCTTAATCAACTGAACCACCCAGGTGGCCCATATTTGTGTTTTTCTAAAAGGAGACATTTGCATATGCATAGACTATCTTTAGAAAGACACATAAGAAACTGGTCACTGTGCTCAGGAAATGATGGGAGAGGCCGGGGGACAAGCAGAGGCAGGAGAGCAGTCTCCTTTTCCTTTTTGTCTTTTTATACCATATGAATGATTTTTCAAAATATAACAAGAAGCTAGGGCACCTGGGTGACTCAGTCGGTTAAGCGTCGACTTCAGCTCAGGTCATGATCTCATGGTTCATGAGTTCAAGCTGCACATTGGGCTCTGTGCTGACAGCTCAGAGCCTGGAGCCTGCCTTGGATTCTGTCTCTCTCTGCTCCTCCCCCACTCATGCTTGCTCAAGCTCTTTCTCAAAAAAATTGTTTTTAATATAAAAAGTGAAAAAGGAAAACACAAAAGAAATCTTATTAGAAATCATCTACCCTGTGTTGTAAGGCTGGAGGAAGCATGTATGGTCATTGGACCAGGGTGGCCCCATACTCTACATCCTGCCCTTGGGTTTCTTATGTGAGACACCTGGTGCCCTGTTGTGCCTAAGCCACCAATTTGTGGAATGACTGGGAAAGCCCCCTGCTTTCTCGGCATTAGGGTGCAGAAGACAAGATGGACAATGTCCTGCCCACTCAAAGCTTAGACCGGGTGGAGGGAGCAGCGGGGCCCGGGGTCTGGAGGTGAGAAACTCTCTGGTTCCTCATCTCCCATGGCCGACCAGCCCTTTTCCTCAGAGCTTCCACGCCTGTGCTCTCCAGGCTGCCTTCCTGCAGGACTATCAGAGTTGCTCAGTCCCTAGGGATGAAAGGCAAGGACAGTCTGACCATATTCTCCAGGGTTCCACAAACTCAAAAGACCTTTAGTATTAAACGCTGGAGCCCAGTAGAACCTGCCCAGAGGGGCCCGGAGAGTGGAAGCAGGAAGAAGTGGCCGGTCCGACTGACCACGGAGGTTTCTGCAGGTTGTGTTCTACAGGTTGGGCTCTTCGGGAATTGTTTTTGCTCACGAAAACATGGTTTTACTTTATCCTTAAAAACTAGGGGCGCTTGGCTGGCTCAGTCAGAAGAGCATGCAACTCCTGATCTTGGGATTGTGAGTTCGAGTCCCAGGTTGGGTGTAGAGATGACTGAAAAATTTTTAAAAATAAATTAAATTTTAAAAATTTATATAGACATTCAGTGCCTTTCTCTCTTTGGATGCCTGCACCTTGCTTCTGTGGAAGGTCACAAGATCCTGTTCTTTAAGCAAGGATAGCGTCTGTACTGGGGCAGCAGTGTTCATTATTTGCAGCCTGTTGTAGGAATTAGGTGGTTTTGCACCGCCTCCTCAGCTCTGGACTAACGGGACATCCATGTCTGGCAACACTATTGGCTTTGATGCTTTAATTTCAGAATTCCCAGAAAAATGTTTCCAAAAATCAGAGCTGCATTGTGGAGAAGAAAGGCATGCATTCTGGAGTCAGAGGGCCTGGAGTTCAAAAGTGACGCTGACATCTACCCATTTCCTAACCTCATCCATAAAATGGAAATAATAATACCGCCTTCACAGAATTGCCCTAAGGCTATGGAGGTAGGTATATAAGGAACCCGGCACAAAGAAGTAGCATCTCTTGGTATCATTTCTATCATGTTCTTCATTCTCATGCCACAAAACCGACCCTCTCAATACCTGTCCTTTTGCAGAAGGTAGCAGTAAAAATCGTAACAATGACAACTAGCATTTACTGAGCACTTACTATGCGAAGGGCCCTCTCCTAGATCCTTTACATGTTCCCTGAATCCTTACAGCAAACCTTTGAGGTGGTTACGGGGCTTTTTACAGATAGGAGAGCCGAGGCTCCGAGAGGTTCAATAACCTGTCCGAGGTGGCTCAGCACCTTCGGCGAGGGAGCATGAACCCAGCGAGCTGGGCGCTGTCCTCCTGATATGGCCACGAGAATCCTCCAGCCGCGGTCCGGGGAGAACACAACGCATCTCAGCGCTTCGCAGGGAGAAGCCGGCTGCGGCTCTGGCCGGCTGGGGCCGAAGGGGTTATTCCCACTGAGACGCCGGCGCCCGGGGCTGCTAGAGCGGCCCCGCCGGGGTGGGGGTGGGGGCGGGAGGAAAGCGCACTTCCGGCCGCGGCCGGGCTCCGGGAATCCCACGGGCCGGCTCCGGGCTCGCGGCGCTCCGCCCGGGCGGCGGGGCGGGGCGGGGCGGGATGGGGTCCCCGGTGGGGACGCCCGAGCGGCGCTCCTGTCCCCCGAGTTCCGGAAAGGAGGGCGAGCGCTGGCCCGGGGAGGGCCGGCCGCGCAGCCCAGGGGCGCACCGGGTCGCGAGGGGAGGAGGCGGCTCTGTACGCGGCCGCCGGGTGGCGGGTCGGGGGAGGCACGAAGCGGGCGGGCGGTTCTCCCGGAAGGGCCGGCAGCCTGGTCCCCCGAGGGACCTCGAGCCTCGCAGAGCCCGGGGTAAGAAAGCACCCGCACATCCCGCCCCTCCCGCCTGCCGGCCCGTTCCCCTCCCGCTCCATCCCCACGGCCGCACGGAGAAGCCGGAGGCATCGTCCGCGTTTCAAAGGCGACTCGCTTAGAGGCGTGTTTTAGAAACCGGCTTGTCCCAGGCGCTCGACGCGTCCGGAACGGGGCCGGACTGCGCGGTGCCGGTTAGGCCCTTGTGGCGCCCCTGACCCGTTCCGCGGTGAAGCGGGGCATCGGGCTGGTTTCTGTAATCTCAGCGGGCCCGCACCCGACCTGGCCCGCCCTTCGCTTTCAGGAGGCAGACGTGGGTCACGGTGGAGCCATCTTTTCTCCCGCGGCTCCCCGCATCCCCCTTCTCTTAGCCTTCATCTTTTTCTTGTCCGCTCTGTCCTTCCAGTCCCACTGCCACCATCTTTCAACTTCATTGTCACTAACCCGCCTTACTGCAGTCACCTTTCATCCAGACTGTTTCCTCCTTATTCCATAGGCCACTCTACAGCCCACCAGTCCCTAAAGTGTTGCATCAAGCCACGCCCCTGTTCAAAGAGCTTTTTTTGGCCAAAAACTAAAGACGTCTATAAGCTCAAATCAAAACGCTTTAGCACAGCATTCAAGGCCACTTAAAACTTGGCTTCAGCCCATCCTTTTAACCTGATCTCTCATTCTTGGCTCCCGGACTAGAAGTTTCAGACTGGTAGCTACAATTCGAAAGTGTATTTCAACTGGTGGGCGATTTCTTTCTAAAATTCGAGTTGATAGTTACCTTAAAACTGGGAAATTTACTAAAAAACAGTAGCAATCAGATTTCTAGCTTTTGATGCATCAGCAGAGCTGGACACAGTTGGCTCATGTTCTTAGACTAAGCAAGTGGTTCAGACTGAGAAGTGGGTTCCCCATTATCTAAAAGATAGAACTGTGTCCCTGTGCTTCACCCTCCACCCTTAAGTACTCCCTGTCTCTGAGCCCGAGGACCAGCTCCATGCTTGCACTGGTGTTTTTCCTATAGGAGAAGCAGGTTTGGGCTCTTGTGTCTCTGTCAAAAGCGCACAAATGGATGGTAAACCAAGAGGCACTCAAGTGTAAAGACAACAGAGAATATACACCAGCCTCCATGCATTTCCTGTTCTTTCTTGGACCCCATAGCCATTTGAACTCTCCACTCAAGGCCCTGCAAGAACCCTGACAGCCAGATTAATAACCTCAAGACCTCTCAAATGAACCTGAGAACCATATCTTTGCACACCCTCTCCATTGAGTAAATTCTATTCAGCAACGTCCTTGGCCAGATCTCCTGCTGCGTGAAACATTTCCTGACAGCCAGCCAAGTAACCAACTCCATCCATCCATCTCATCAGCATTTATGGAGGCCACGCTCTGGGCCTCTTATACAACGTACATGTGGTAGGTGATCAAGAAATAGTTACCAGCTGGGTAAGTGGCATAGTCACACATGTTTTATCCCTTAGTTAGATTATAAGATCTTTGAGGGAGGGGTCCGAATCTTATCCATCTTTGCAGTGCCCTAACAACTAGCACACTGGCATGGCACGTAGCAGGCATTTGGTAATATCTGAGGATATATATGCCATAAGGAAGTGCCCCAGAGAAGCAACAGATACCAAGTTTCAATCCAATTCTGTGTCTGGAAGCAGCACCCACACTCCCCCAACGCTGAGATGCAGAGGAACGGAGAGGCAGCCCCAGAGAACAGAGAGCAGAGCCCTTACTCAGTTCTGAAAGCCAGGAGCATTTCACAGACCCCTCAACCTGGAGGCTCTGCTCAGGATTCAGCCGAAGCTACGTCTAGGACCCAGCTGTATCCGTGTGACCTTGTGAGTGAAACCCAACCTGATTCTGATTCTGAATTCCAAGCTCTAGAATAACAATGGCTAACATGTACTGAGGCACTCTCTGAGCCAAACAATGCCAAGTGCTTCATACCCATGGGCCCCATTCCAGCCTCACAGCGCTCTGGAGTCCATACTGAGTGTCTCTTTGCAGATGACAAGGCTGAGGCTCCAATGCCCTAGTAAATTGTCTAAGGCTACATAGTAAGAGGCTGAGCCAGGAGTTCAAGTCCATGTGGGCTGAATCTAGGGCTCATGCTTAGCTCTGTGCTCCTTCTAAACATCTGAGGCTATATTGAACACCACTGAAATGTACACTTAAAAATATTAAGATGGTAGGGGGCACCTGGGTGGCTTGGTCGTTTGGGCGTCCAACTTCAGCTCGGGTCATGATCTCACGGTTTGTGGGTTTGAGCCCCATGTTGGGCTCTGTGCTAACAGCTCAGAGCCCAGAGCCTCCTTCAGATTCTGTGTCTCCCTCTCTCTCTGTTCCTCCCCCACCTGTGCCTCCCCCACCTGTGCCCTGTCTCTCAAAAATAAACAAACATAACAACAATTTAAAAATATATGAAGATGGTAAATGTTATGTGTGCTTTAATTCAATTTTTTAAAAAAGCAAAACATAAAACTCTGAGGCTGAAGAGGGATTTGGGGCAGGACCCAGGAACTCCGCATTCCTCTTATTGGGGTTCTGGGTAATATGGCCAGTAGTATACCTGAAGCAGATGCCAAAAACAGCTGCCCTTCACTAATTTCTCTCATGTCCTTCTTTAACTGCCTCCCTAGAGAATTAAACATTATACTTTTAGAATTAATATATATCTTCAAAACTCTTTAAAAGCCTAAAGTGAAAACTTCAGATTAAAAAAAAATCAAACTGGCAACGTAGCTTTAAATTCTTGAGGAGCAGGAGTTTATTTCCCCTGTGTTCGCAGAGGGAAAAAAAAAAATCACAGGTGAGATAAGTAGTTTCCCAAAAAAGGGCAGAGGAGGAAAGCAATAATTAATCAAATACCTGCTGCGTGCCAGGGACCGCAGCCGCTTTCATACTTTATCTCATAGAATCCTTACAACTGTAAAGGTATTACCCTATTGTGCAGAAGAAGGAAGTGAAGCTTTACAATGTTACATAATTTTGCAAACGTTAAACTGATTCTGAGAACTGGAGTTGGATCAGAAACCAGACCTGGTAGTCCGAACGGTGACTGGAGGGGTGTCTGGCTGGCTCAGTCGGAGGAGCATGCAACTTTTGATTGCGAGGTGTGGGTTCGAGCCCCATGTTGGGTGTAGAGATTACTTAAAAAATATATAGTGAAAAAGAAAAGTGACTGGCTTTAATCATCACTGCATGGATGATCATCACTGTTAAGAATTAATCTCTTGCCACCCAAATGTCATTGAATTTGAACCAAATTCAGTGGACCTCTAGACTTGAGCCTTGAACTCCGAAGTTGTGGGGTTTTTTGTTTTGTTTTTTAAGATGGGTCCAAATGAGGGGGGAGGGAAGGCTTCCTTCTGTGTTTGCCTCAGAGCTATGAATCAGTCAGATTTACAACATATTCTTTTAAGACTTTCCCTTTTTCTTACAAAAGTACCCAGCAGCATGTTGTAGCTCAGTCATCCATTTATTCATTCAATAAATAAGTATTGCGTGTTTATTCTGGACTCTTCGAGACATTGCAGATACACTTGTGAACAAAACAGCCAAAAATTAAAATTAAAAAATAAAATCCCTGTCCTTACAGGGGTTAAATTCTTTTTATTTTTTAATTTTAATTTTAATTTATTTTTTGTATAGAGATTAAATTCTAAGGAAGACAGGTAACAAAGATTGTAATAAAAAAAGGGGGGGTGGAGTAGGAAGTGTCAAGGACAGGGAAGATATTGAAGTTTTGGATAGGGAGGCTAAGGAAGACTTCTCTGAAAAGGTGAAATTTTAGTAAAGACTTAAAGGGAGGAGATGTGATACAACGTACTGCGTAACACTCCCTCCAAGAATTCCTCTGGGAAGAAGACAACCAAAACGATGAGGAAAGCTAATCAAAAACTATCTGCAATCTTTGAAGTAGCCCAGGAGGGGGGGAAATCACAAAAGATTGACCTTCTTTTCTTGTTCTTTCTGATTTTCTCTTAGTCTCTCATTTATTCAGTCTCTTCTGAGAGTCACCTCTCTTCGGTCATGTGTAATCTTTCCCCCTCCTTTTTTTTTTTTTAATTTTAAGATTTTTAAAGTACTCTGTACACCCAATGTGGGGCTCGAACTCACAAGCTCAGATCAAGAGTCACACGTTCCACCAACTGAGCCAGCCAAGTGCCCCGTATCCTGCCCTTCTTTATGCCAATTCCATCCAGGGTAGGCAAGAAATGAGGTGGCCTGTGAGCAGGGGAACCAGCATGCTTCCTTCAGTTACATGGAACCGGGCACAGTGTAAAGTGGTGGTTGGAGCCGGGGGTAGGCAACCCAGGGGTGACACACTTTGAGATTAAATAAGTGTCTGTAGGAGCAGATAGCCCAGAATAGCCACCCAGATCTCCTAAGAATGGGGGGATATAAACACATAGAACCCAGGGAAGAAGCAAAGCCATGTTTGTTTCTTTGTTACGTTCACTTGTTCGTTCGTTCGTTCCTTCCTTCCTTCCTTCCTTCCTTCCTTCCTTCCTTCCTTCCTTCCCCCCCCTTCCTTCCTTCTTTCTGAAGATTTTATTTTTAAGTGATCTCTACACCCAGTGCACCCAGTGTGGACTTGAACTCACAACCCTGAGATCAAGAGTAGTATGCTCCACCAACTGAGCCAGCCAGGTGCCCCTGCTGTTGCTTTCTGGTTGGTCGGTCTCTCTCTCTCTCTCTCTCTCTCTCTCTCAACATTATTTTTTAAAGAGAGAGCAAGAGAGAGTGGAGGGGGAGGGGCAGAGAGAGAGAGGTAGACAGAAGATCCTAAGCAGGCTCTGTGTGGTCAACAGAGAGCCGGATGTGGGGCTCGAACTCATGAACCCTGAGATCCTAACCTGAGCCAAAGTCAGACGCTTAATGGGACAAACAACCTAGAGGTCCTGGTCAGTCTCTTTTGTTACAGCTTCATCATGATAGAATTCACATACTGTGTACACTTAAAGTGCAGTGCACAATTCAGTTATTTTTAATCTATTTACAGGGTTGTGTGACTGTCACCAAAATTTTAGAACATTTTCATCAATCCTGGAATAAATTTCGTATCTATTAGGAGTCACTTCTTGTTT